AGTACAGGATCTTAACTTCCTTCCTTTTGTTCGTTTCTTTGGAGAGTAACAATAGCAAGTATTTGCCAAGTAATTTAATAAGTCTTTAAAGTCTGAAACTGAGGATTTTTCTCTGTTCTTAAGTTTCAAGGCATAAACACTACCTGTTTGACAGTCACAAACTTTACAATAAAAAGAAAAATGAAAGCTCTAAATAGCTCAGAAGTAAGTTCATCAGTATCAGCTTAGCTTCTCACTCTCCTTTTCTTTCGAAGCTAAGCTAGTGGAACCATTATTGCCATAACTCAAGCAGAAGAGAATGAAGGAAGTTGGAGGGAGAACCTAATATCTGTATATCTATATATCTATATCTATAGATAAATTGATGGATAGATAGATAGATAGATATATGTGTATATATATGTATATATGGATATATATATCCATCTATTTATCTATCTATCTATATATAGAGGGATATATATGTTTCTGTCTTCTGTTGTCTATGAAAGTGGATTTTTGTTGTTATTTGCTCAATTGTTTTTTTATTTTTTTTTTAATTTTTTTTTCAACATTTTTTATTTATTTTTGGGACAGAGAGAGACAGAGCATGAACAGGGGAGGGGCAGAGAGAGAGGGAGACACAGAATCGGAAACAGGCTCCAGGCTCCGAGCCATCAGCCCAGAGCCCGACACGGGGCTCGAACTCACGGACCGCGAGATCGTGACCTGGCTGAAGTCGGACGCTTAACCGACTGCGCCACCCAGGCGCCCCAATGTTTGCTCAATTGTTAATATGCATAGCAGTCACCTAAAGGTTCTGTTAAAATGTAGATTCTGAATCAGTAAATCTGGGCTGTAGGCCTGAGATTTTCATTTCTTTTCCTTTTTATTTTTTGTAGTTTATTTATATTTGAGAGGAAGAGAGAGAGAGTGAGAGAGCGCAAACTTGAGTGGAGGAGGGGCAGAAAGAGGGAGAAAGAATCCAAAGCAGGCTCCAGGCTCCAAGCTGTGAGCTGTAAGCTGCCAGCACAGAGCCTGACGCAGGGTTTGAACCCACAAGTAGTGGGATCATGACCTGAGATGAAGTCGGACGCTTAACCGACTGAGCCACCCACACACCCTGAGATTTTCATTTCTAACTCACTTTCAGGTTATGGTGATATTGGCTGGGCTCAGATCACACTTTTAGTCACAAGGGTCTGCAATCTTAATTTCTTTATTCTTCTCTTGATGTCATCCTAGCATTATTGTTTGAGTTGTTCTCATTTGAATCTTCTCAGAATTGGCCAGTATATTTAGGTATTTCTACATTAGATAGATGTATTTATCTTTTTGCAAAATTGATCTGTTTATTTACTAATTTACTTATTTTTTGAACCCTAATTATGGTATTAATGGAGAGGGGTGGAGAGTATGATGCAAGACAATGGTAGATGAAGTTTGTAGGAAGCTCTGTAATGGAACCAACATGAGTTCACTCCTTGGTGAGGCAGAAATTACACCAGGTTGAGTTGTTGCATGAAGAAAACTTTATTTGCAGCAAATAAGGAGATCATGGGGAGTGGCTTCCAAAGCCATGACTCCCTGAGCAAGGGTGAAAGGATTCCTTTTATTTAGGGTTAGGTTGAATGATTAGATAGGGAAGCCTTGTCATCATATGTAGAGCTAGGCATAAGGTCTCTTATGTGTCTTAAGGAAACATGTGTATACAAAGATTGTATGTTATGTAAATGAGGCTTATGCTCCTCCTTCGGTGGAGATTTTGTGTTATAATGAGGTAAAGGTAGTTGTCTGTCATTCTAGAGGTCACTCCATAGTCCCTCTGCGCAGGTGTGAGACAGGGTTTTAGCTCAAACTAGTCTGAGTGCTCTGGGCCAGCTAGAGGTCTTGTCAGGGCAGTTGCTATTACTCCAGGAGTGGTTTCACTTTGCATTTGCCTGAATTAAGAGATAAGCTGGAAAGAAGAACCTAAGGGGAAAATATGGGACAAAGGTGTGTGAGTACAAGCAGGTGGGCTGTTAAGGTCAGGTCTTGGGGTCTAGCTGGTGATGTCTGCACAGCAGAGTGCAGAAGGAGGGACACTGCTGAGTTTCATCTCTCTCCCTCTATATTTTGAGTACCAGATCAATATAAATAGCTCTGGCTTCCATTTATTGAGCACCTTCTCTATTCCAGGTTCTAGGTTAACACTTTTAAGAATATTTTTTAAAATATTTTTTAGCTTAAAAGTTATTATCCCTGTTTTATAGTTAAGGAAAGATCATTCACTTTATTTGAAAGATAGGGGTTAATGAGTCTGTTAAAAGTTAAGTGAATACTTCTCAACTCAGTTTCTGAGGCCAGTATTACCCTCATTCCAAAACTAGGTAGGAGAGTACAAAAAACAAAAAAGAAAATTATAAACTGATATCTCTCATAAAGCTAGATGTAAGGATCATTAACAAATATTAGCAAATCAATTCAGCAATATTGAGAAAAAAACTGTAACAACCAAGTGAAATTTATTCTAGGTATCTAAGACTGTTTCAACATATGAAAATCAATCAGTGTAATGTACCATATCAGTAGGATAAGGAAGAAAATCTCATGATCATATCAATTGATGCAGAAAAAGAATTTGACAAAAACTAATACCATTAATGATAAAAATGATCAGCTATCTAGAAAGAGAGGGAAACTTCCTCAACTTGATAAATATATCTACAGACAAAATCTATAGCTGTAATACTTAATGGTGAAAGACTGACTATGCCTCTAAGGTTGTGAATATGGCAGGTATGTTGGGGCACCTGGGTGGCTCAGTCGGTTGAATGTCCTGCTTCAGCTTGGGTCATGATCTTATAGTTTGTGGGTTTGAGCCCTGTGTCAGGCTCTGTGCTGACAGCTCAGAGTCTGGAGTCTGCTTCAGATTCTGTGTCTCCTTCTCTCTCTACCCCTCCTTCCCTCACACACTGTCTCACTCTGTCTTTCAAAAATAAATAAATGTAAAATAAATAAATAAATAAAGATTTCAAGTATGTCCACTCTTACTCCTCTTATTCAACATAGTATTGCAAATTCTAGTCTATACAATAAGGGGAAAAAAGGTGGGGAGTGAGGGAGGGAATAAAATCACACAGACTGGAAAGGAAGTAATGCAACTATCTCTATTGGCAGATGACATGATTAGCTAGATAGAAAATATTGATTCTTCTAAAATAACTAGAATTAAGTGGGTTCAACAAGATTGCCAAATACAAGATCAACGTACACACACACATGCACACACAAGTAGACATTCTATAAGTAAGAAAAACATTAAATCTACATCAAAAATGTAGTACCATTTAAAAATGCTCCAGGGGCGCCTGGGTGGTGCAGTCGGTTAAGCGTCCGACTTCAGCCAGGTCACGATCTCACGGTCCGTGAGTTCGAGCCCCGCGTCAGGCTCTGGGCTGATGGCTTGGAGCCTGGAGCCTGTTTCCGATTCTGTGTCTCCCTCTCTCTCTGCCCCTCCCCCGTTCATGCTCTGTCTCTCTCTGTCCCAAAAATAAATAAACGTTGAAAAAAAAAATTAAAAAAAATAAAATAAAAAAAAAATAAAAATGCTCCAAAGAATATGAAATGCTTAGGTATAAATCTAACAAAACATATACAAGATCTCTATGCTGCAATTTATAAAATGTTGATGAAAAAAATAAAAGAAGATCTGAGTAAATGGAAAAATATGTCATGCTCATGGATTGGATGACTCAATATACATGTTGGGGAGAAAGAATTTTCTCTAACACTAAATGCCCCTCTAGCTGGACTAAGAATCAAATTGACATGAGATAGATGAACAGGAGAAAATAAAATTTAGTAGCATATTTATGGGGAATCCACACAACTTGGAAATTCCAAAGACCATGAAACATTACACTTACACTGAGCTAAAGAGAGGGGTAAGGTCTCCAATGCAAAGGGGAGAAAGACCATTAGCAGAAAGGTGGAAGATATTTAGAAAACAAACTTTGCCCTATTATGCAGATAAGTTTCTTAGATAAAGAGGAAATCTCTGTTAATAGCTCTATTCCTAGTATAAGCCCGCAGTTGAGGGAAGGGTAAAGAGCTTCTCCTGAATCTGCTGAGATTTGATTGCTTTTAATTTGAAGTTATGTTCATGGTACAGTGTCCCAACCTGAGGCAGCCTGCCCTTGGCCCCTACAGAGGAAATAAAAATGTAATGAAATTTCTATTAAATTTCCAGCAACATTTTTGTCAACATAGATAAACATACTCTAAAATGTATATGTGAAAGGAAAGACTGTAGAATACCCAAAGCAATTTTGAAAAAGAAAAGTGAATTGGGAGAAATCATTCTTTCTGGTGTTAAGACTTACTATATCATTATAGTAGTTATAGTATATAGCATAGTGAAGTAGACACTGTAATACCATTACAGAGAAAGTTACACAGATCAATGGGAGAGAATAAAGTAACAAGAAATAAGTCCATATAAATATACGCAATTGATTTTTGACAAAGTTACAAAAGCAATTCAATGGAGGAAAAGTTGTGTTGGAGCAATTTTATATATAGGTAATAAAAAGAAAGAGAATCTCTACCTAAATCTCACACCTTAATAAAACATTAACTCAAAATAGATAACAGTTTTAAATTTAAAATATAAAAGTATAAGAAATTATGAGGGGAAAAGGAGAGAATCTTCATGACCTAGGACTAAGTGAAGAGTTGTCAAACATGACACCAAAAACATACCAATAAAGAAATATTAATAAATTGGCTCTCATCAAATATAGAATATTTGCTGTGCTAATGATCCTATTAACAGGATGAAAAGAAAAATCAGAGACTGGGATATACTATCTGTAAATTACATATCCAAGAGAGGACTTTTATCTAGAATAATAAAGAACTCTCAAAAGTGAACATTTATTTATTTTTATTTTTTTAATTAAAAAAAATTTTTGGTTAATATTTATTTTTGAGAGAAGGAGAGACAGAACACAAGCAGGGTAGGGGCAGAGAGAGAGGGAGACACAGAATCTGAAGCAGACTGCAGGCTCTGAACTGTCAGCACAGAGCCCGATGTGGGATTCAAACTCATGAACTGCAAGATCATGACCTGAGCCGATGTCAGACACTTAACCGAGTGAGCCACCCAGGCACCCCTCAAAAGTCAACCTTTAAAAAGCAATTAATCCAATTAGAGGATGGGCAAAAGATACATCAAATAAGCACAAGAAAATGTTACTCAGCATTGTTAGCTACTAGGGAAATGCAATTACAAGCACAATTTTAATCCAAAGACTAAAGTTTAAAAAAATACTAATATCAAATTCAAGTAAAGATGTGGCAAAAGTGTATCATTCATACATTGCTGGTGGGAATGTAGAATGGTACATATAGCTGGAAAAATGACAGTTTCTTTTAAAATTAAAGATGTATACTACATAAGACTCAACAGTTGCATTCTTGGGCATTTATTCCAGAGAAGTGAAGACTTATAGTCACACAGAAACCTGTACACAAATGTTCATATCAGCTTCATTTGTAATAGACCAAAATGGGAATTACTCAAATATCCTTCATCAGATGAGTGGCTAAGCAATATATGATATACCTATGCCTTAGTAGACTACTCAACAGTTAAAAGGAACAATCTATTGATACATGTAGCAACTTGGATGAACCTCAAATAAATTATGATGAGTGAAAAAAATGCAACCTCAAATTCAATCTTTATATATATTATATATACATATATATATATATTATATAGTTTTATAAAAAATCTAGCCTGTATATGATTCATTTTATAATATTCTTGAAGTAATGAAATAATAGAGATGGAGAAAAGATTAATGGTAGGCAGAGATTATGAATGGAATGATGGGGGTGAGTGTGGCTATAAAGAGTAACGCTAGGGAGAATTAATGGACGGTACCATGCTGGGTTTTGACTGTGGCAGTAGATACATGGACATATACATATCATAAAATTGCATAGAAATTCACACACATATACACATACAGATGAGTGCATGTATAACTGGTATGTGAATTGTACCAATTTCAATTGCCTGATTTTGATATTGTGCTTTGTTAACACAATATGTCTAAATTAGAGAAGACTGGATACCTGGTGAATTGGACCTCCCTTTACATTCCTCCACAACTTTCTGTGATCCAATAATTATTTCAAAATAAACATTAAAAAAAAAAAAGTCAGCTGTTTAGTTAAAATCCTACTTAGCCTGAAGAATATACTACTGACTTCTAGCCTCTCCAGAGCACGAGCTCTTATCCCTTGCTCCATACTGTCTTCTTCTGGGTTCTAACAAGTGACATTCTGAGGTGAAGGCAGGAAGACATTGCCAGGTTATAAAAGTTAATATCAGGTATAAGAATTCCATAACTTCAGATATGTCCTGATGCACTATCAGGGAAGCCTTATTTTATGTGAAAAGTTGGATTGATAACCTCAGTAAAGCACCTATTCTCTTTTCTTTCCCAACTCACGTTTTCTGTGCTCACTGAAGTCTAAATTGTGTTGAAATAGAATTCTAGGGGAAAACCTCCAATGAACCTATTTGCTATCTTCTCTCTTATGGCTTATACTCTACTCTCTTTTTAAACTGCAGCACTATTTTTCTGATTCTGATTCTGATTTTAAGCAACTGCTATTATAGAGACCTTTCTCTGTCTTACTTTCAGTTATTTTGCATTCTAAAATGTTTAAAGTTAGTTCCTCCAACCTAAGTGAATTCTTTCTAGATTGCTAGTTCTGTTTTTTTTTTGTTTTGTGTGTGTGTGTGTGTGTGTGTGTGTGTGTGTGTGTGTGTGTGTGT